TTAAACCAGAGTAAGTCGGCTCCACTAGTTTAAATAAACAGTCCCCTACCCTTTGTTTCCTCACAGTCCTGATGACGTTCTCCCTTATGCCAGCACAAGTATTTCTACAGCCACATAGTGAATTAGATCAGAAAATGTATGGACCACCTGGATTAGTTTCAATACAAACGATTTTTCCGATACTGTTCATGGGACAGCCCCATGAACATTTGGGCCAACACAGGGAAGTTGCAAGAACAGCCAGACAGGACTGCTGCTTTTGGCAGCACTGCAATCCTAAAGTTTCCCTGAAATTAGCTTGGCAGAGCCATCAGCAACAACAAACATGGAAGTTAAGCTTTTTAACAGTACTTGCAAGCAGCTTTAAAAAAAAATAAAAATTTAAAACACCCACAACCCCCCCAATGAAAAAAAAAACACCCAAAAAACAAAATACCCCAAACAACCTAACCTCAACACAGAAACCTAGACATTTTTAAAAAATTGATAGTCCGCTACCTGTCAGATACTGAGTCACATCCATGACCAAAGAGGGAGTCAAGAAGTGTTTCTTAATAACATAACAGCAGGATCTTTGGGTGTCTTACATCAGTCTCAGCCAGTAAGCGTGACCATCAAGCAAAAACAAGATACATAACAGAACCAGGCTTATCCCACCGAAAGCAACACAATTAACAAGGAAGTAAATGTCACTGTTAGCATTTGCTATGTTTAAAAGAAAAATGGACAAAGTTGTTTCCAATTCCTTTAAAATATTATTTTTAAAAGCCTTTACTACACCAACTGATGTTAAAGTTTTCTCAGAGTACACAGACTACAGATGCAACATTATCTGCTAAGCCATTTTAAAAGTTCTACACCGCATGTAGAACACCACATTTTAGGACAGTTATCCCCACTTACACTAGCAAAACACTGCTTCCTCTTAGCTTCATTATTTTAGCTATCTTTCATTTATAGTCGTTTAGTAGTCTACGTTTCTCTTGCTTAGGCATTCCTTGAAAGCTGTCAGAAAGACTGAAGTCAAAATCTTGTTAAAAGTAACTCACAAGCTGTTGCCAAAATGCATTTGCGTTCAGAGATTCAGGCTTCAAAAGAAATGAGGATTATACAGTCAGGACAAAACAAAAGGGGATAGGACAGCCTTCAAGAAACCTCACAGAATTTGTAATGTTCTCTCATAATGCATGCACTGAATTAAAGGAAGTCTCTTATTGAGACACTAGTGTAAGGCATCTATTCAGTGTTTGTACATCTGCCATGCTTTCTTACCCATTCTTTACCTCCCCCCCCCTTTAATGCCCACAAACTTAACAGCAGCACATCACAAATAAAAATAGAATGCATTTCATTAGTGACTGTAAATCCATATCACTCAGATCATCAATGACTAGAATCCTACAAATACTAAAATACTGTAGCAAATTTGCCCAAACTATCTTGGAATGTACAAGTAAGAGCTGGGAAGCATATTTCTCCCCTATTTATATGCTTGCTATATAATATTATTTTCATAATATCCACACAGTTACAAAGACAAAACAGACTCATGTAAGAATCACAGCATGAAAAGTCAACTGGAACAGTAAAACATACAAAGGCCTTCTTTCCTAATTCACTCATTTCTTAATTTACAAATATTTTATACTGTTTTCTATGAAGTCAAAAAACCAGCATCCCAGTAACAGTAAAATCAGCTCTGCAAAACCATCATATGATTGGTAACTGTTCTTTTATGTAATACTATTGGCAAACACAAGCATGTTTCTCCTCTAACTAAAAACACAGAAATCAAAGTGACTACCTCTAAGAATTTTGTCAATACTCAAAAAAGAATTAGCATGCTTTTGGATACAGGTTGCTTTGGATAGCCATTCTTGTTATTTTTTTTTGTTTTAAACACTGTGTTTTCACATGCCCTTAGGCAGTGGTTTCACACAGTCTCCTTGCAATAATCTCAGAGCATGCTGCTGCAGAAAGGGCTATCTTCATTCTCTCATTTGTTCCAAGACAGATATTCATGTAAGTGCTTGGTGAGCTGGAGAAGGAAACTACTCTGGACGAAAAGACAAAGCTGACTTTTCAGCCACATCACCTCCCAGATCCCGATTCCCACAAGGCTGCACGGAGGCCAGTGCCAGCACAATGAGCAAGACAGCAATGCACTCTTTCAGAATACCTTTGGGAGAAACTCCCACACAAGATAAACCAAATGCAGTTGTAATCCAAAGGCTTACTTTCTTCAGTAGTTTCCTTCACCTATCTCCTCTACTTGTAGACAAACCCCAAATGTTCTCTGGCATTCCTCAAACTCCTACACCACAATCCCTCCTTAACAACCAGCCTGACCCTAATCCATCCAAATACCTGCAACCCTAGCTCCAAACAACAGCTCCCTGCTGACCCTTTCTAAATTCTTACAACCCCTCCAAGTTTTCTGCATCCCCAATGGCAACAGGCCCTTCCCATGGTACACACTCCCCCTGCATTCCCCTGTTGCCCCAAGAACGATTCCCTCAGCCACAGGCTTCACCTGAGGAATTGCTCCTCACAGCCAGGCCCACTAAAGCCTTGCTCAAGCCATGGAGCCAGTGCCCAGCAGCAAGGCAGTCATGCCCAAGTACTGATATATGTTAGGCATTAAACCTCTTCCTGCCACTCAGCACAGCCTGTCACTCAACATCAAAAGGGACGAGTAGGAGGAAGCAATTCCTGCCCTCCCTGCCACAACAAGCTGCATGCTTGGAGTGCACCTCAGAGCCAGAGCCTTCACCCCTTCTCATTTTCCCCACTTTTATCTGAAGCAATGGGACCATCGAAGAGGAGAAAAAGGAGGAAGACAGCATTTTCTTAGAACCCCGCATTCTATACTCAATCCTTCTCACACCAAGAACAACTATTCTAAGGGATGTTTTTATATATTTATAATAAAGCAACCATTACTCAAGCAGTGACTACTTGCAGCGTCAAGAACTCCTTTGTTTTGCATGCCCCCGGGTCTTTCTGTAGTAAAATTTAACTGCTACTGTTAGGGTAAAACTTTGATCTCAGAGATGACTTGGTAAAGGATCACCATGACGCACAAAGCAACAATCTGATTTTCGTAAGAAAATTCAAGGCGAAAAGTAGGGGG